AAAGCCATCCTTGTCACCCAATTGCGCACTTCATGTTTGCGGCTTGGGTGCATGTTGCACGCGCGGGCAACAAGCAAGTGAGACCAACTGGTTGTTCTTGTGAGAAGAAGCCTTAAGTCCCTAGAGCAGGTATCGCTTGCATCGGCTTCCGGTACAGCGATCAAGTCGTGTGCCCCCCGACGAAGTCATGTCCTATGATCAATGGCAGGTGCAATTCGGCCGCCACTACTTAAACAAGTACCAGCAGCCCCGTCAGAAGTTCAAGAAGCGGGCCGAGCGCCTCCTGAAAGCGCAGGAGAGGGAAGCGCAAGCGGAGGGAGACATGGCCGAAGTGGCGGAAGCCTTCTCAGCGGCTTTCCCACTTTGTGGCTCGGGGATCTTTGAGAACCCGACTGGCCCGGAGACGGAGTCTGAAGCTCGAAGTCCAAAGCAGCCGAAGCAGAAGCAACCAGAGCCAGAGCCTCTGGCGCATGCGCAGCTCCCAGATCCCATCTGCGCGGAAGATCCGAATCGCGTCGGTGGCCGGGAGGAGGAGAAGGCTGCCCTTCGACTTCTCTCCGCAGACTTCCAGGCACCTCCGACCTTGTTGCGAATTTTTTGGCTTTAGGGTTTGTAGCAGCGGTCCACTTGCTTTAGGGCCAAGTGGTGGGGCATTTACGCTTACAGGGGTTTCAGGCGCCTTGCTATTTGGACGTGGATTTGGCTTTTGTGGGGCTCTCCGAGATGGAGAAAGCTTTTGTGAGCGACTACGCCGGCACCTTTGCCTTCAAAGTGCAGACTCTTCGGGTTCCGCCTATGAGCGACGGCTGGGTTCGGATCCAGGCTTGCGAGGTTTGCGACGGGGACCTGGTTGACACTGAAGAGCGTTTCGAGCTGCAGGTGGGGGCCGGGGATGGAGCCACCGATTGAATGACCTCAAACCTGTTACCCGAAACTCCCTGGGCGGCAAAAATTCGAAAGCCTAGGGACCAGCTGGGCGGGTGGGAAAAGCCCGATACACAAAACCTTCAGCCCCTGTACTCTACGACCTCGTAATTTCCGGCAGATCGGGAATCCTGCTTCTGGCGTAGGTTGAAAGACCTAGGAACCTCCAATTCTTTTGAGTTCCATGACTAAGCGTCGTTTTGGGGGTCCTTTCCAACATAGGTTTAAAGCCAAGCCCTAAACCCGTAAACGCCAAGTAGGAAAAGCCGGGCAATTGCCCGACTCCCAACGGAGCGGCCTTGTCCGGTATCCTGACCGCGCGCGCGAACGGCGGGAAGATGGCGAACTCCCTTCCAGTGCCTTTGACGGTTGGCGGTTTATGGGAGTTGGGGCAGGGCATGTCTGAGGGTCGTTGTGTTTTTGAGTTCAAGTCCCCGATCCCGTATCGTTACTCTTGATCGACGTGACGTACCTACACCCTATGCAAGTGATCCTAAACCTTGCACTTTCACCTTGAACCCAGCCGCTGCCGCGTTTGAGGTGTACCCTCTTTGGTGCTCCTCTTGGGAGGCTGGCTCCCTGGAGTTCGCGGCTCGTGAAGGAATCCCATGCACGCTGAATTTTTCGGGGACACCGGTCTCGGCATCTTGGGTGCAAGCGAACTTTCTGTGCTGCTTGTCATCCTTGTGCTTGTTCTTTGTCGTAGCCGTTTCACCCTGCACCACATCCTCCTGTCGTCGTCGTTGTTCGTTACAAGAGCTTGGGTTGAAACTGGATTTGTTCTCGTGATTGAATTTGCCATTGTTTCTTTCTACTGCTGATGCTAGTGCCGACTCGGTTTCGGTTTTCCCGACAAGCAAGTAGGTTCTCAGCCATTTGCAGAACATCTGCATGTTCTATATTATATTGTTAAACCGCTCTGAGCAACAACAGCATGAAGCAGGACTCAATACTCGTCTGCCCGGCTTCACTCCACACCCAAGGCATGGGTGTCAGCGACGGAGTCAGTGAGACGACAGCGACACCGCGTCGGGCCCCTCACTGCCAGAGACAGGGTCGACAGACGGGACAGACGGCTTACCTTCGACGATGACGATTACTTTCCCAGAAATGTTCCCATCAGGCCGCCTGTCTCTGTGTAAACACCCCAAGATCAAGACCCAGAACACTCAAATCCAAACTCGTGCAGCCTTCCCTGTCTTCCGTCAGTGCGAGCATCGAAACCCCAGGAGTCGTAAACCCGCTTGCCCAAGTTGTGAGCAGAGACACTAAGCCAAATCAAAGCTTAAATCCTGAATTTTGAAACCTGAGACTCTAAAGGCACTGGGTCCCTTGCAGGCTGATCGCTGTTGATCCTTGGCACGAGCCCAACGAGCGAATTAGAGGCATTCGCAAGATGATGAATCCCGCGAGGCCTTTGGTGTGCAGGCAAGGGAGGCAGTCCATGTTGCTCTCAGCCGAGCGAGGGTGAAGGCGAGGGTCTTGTGCATGCACCCAGCATGCAGGGTTTAGCTTGGTAACGTCTGATGGCACAGATCTTGGACTGGAGCTTAGCTCGGTCTGCACTGTGAGCCGAAGGCTCGTGTAGAGCAGAGCCACCAATCCAGCCAAGACTTTCGACAGGCTGGCTGCGCCATGGCAGAAGCCATCGCAGTATCAGCGTCGTGTCTGCCTTTGCGAAAAAAACGGCGGTTTCGGCAAACTGTGTTGTCAGGAGCATTCGAGAGTTTAGGCCCAAGTTTAAGTCGAGGGCTTCTAAGCTTAAGTTGCAGGATGCAGGGTTTCGGACCTGCCTAGCATTCAGGCCGTGGTGAAGCAGTCAGTCCGAGACCCAGTCGTCTTCAGGTCATGAGCATCGTTACTGCGAAGTGGGAGGCAAATGGCAAATAATTCTTGGCTAGTTACAGGTTCAAATTCTTTTTGAGGCCTGCACGCAGATCGTCTGAAAGCTGGCTGTGGCTCTTCCGTAAGCCCAAGGTCCTAAACCCGACTAAGCTGGGTCGGTCCCAGGTTATGTTGCGGAAGCCGGAGGGGCTCGGCACTTGGAAAGAACCGCTTCAGAGCAAGGACACAGTGTAACCTCTCCCGACGTATGTAAAGCTTATTTAAAGCTATGATCAATTTCCTAGTTTTTGCATCATGTACAGTCAGTTTGCTAGTATGTTTTACCAGGAAGTATTTTTTGAAGGACATGCGCCAACAACTAGCCTTGGACTATTATTATATCATAGTATGCAAGCCAAACATGACAAAATGTGTACTGCTTACTAGGTGGGACACCGGGCAGTGTATAACAGAGTGGAATGGTCACTACTGGTGGTAAGCTAATCGAGTGCAGCAAAGAAGCACGCAGAGGGAGCCAAAGATAAGACGTCGTTAAAATGGCACGAGTTGACAACCCATGAATGCAGAGGCTGGGGTAGATGATATTTGAGATGATATCCGGTTTTCCTCACATTAGCCGATGGCGTTGTACCTCGCAGTTTATTGCAGAACAAGGTAGTGCCACTGACTGGAACGTTCTTGCGTGGTACAGAATTCATACCTGAACACCTACTAAAGAGCAATAGAGGCTATGTAAAGCAGAGCAAAGCCACACACATACCTGAACCGCACAAGCCCATACAGTCGGAATCGTCCAGGTTCTGACCGCCGATGTATGTGTGCTGGATGACGCCGGGTCCCAGCATTACCCGACTTGGCCAATGTTTGTTTCTTTCATCGTTTGCGGCAACCTTTGTGGGAACTCATAAGTAGGATGCGCTGAGAATTTTGGTGGTAACCAGCTTCAGAGCTTGGAAATCATCATGGTTTTGCATCGTGAGGCTTGTTGCTACACTTGTTACCCTTGTTATTTCGCTTTCCGTCGACTTCCCAACTTTCGTTGTTGTAACTAGTTCCATCATGCTTATGCATTCCGTGTTGTGTCTCTTGAGGGCTTGATGCTGTCCACAAATAGTTTTGGAGTTTCGTAATCTGGCGTTTCGGTTGGGGGGCGGGTCATGCCTCATTTTCGGTGTCCCTCTAGCCGTGTGTGTGTGTGTGTGTGTTTGTGTGTGTGTATGTGTGCGTGCAGTTTTGGGCATTCAGCCTTTGTGTTGATGTTGTAGCTCTTAGTTTCGGAAACAAGCCATCATGCGGATTTCACCGTATCTGAAGCTCCTTATCGCTACGTGGCCGTCTTCAAGCAACTGTAGCTGCGTGAATAGAAGACCGCAAATCCGAAGCCATGGCGCTCCTTAACGAGGCTTGGTGTGTGTGTGTGTGTGTGTTTTTTGCGTGGAGGGCTTTGGGAAAGAAAGCTCCCGGAAAAGGTCTTACTGTGACAGGACCCATGTCGCAGGATTTGATTGGGTACTGCTGCGATCTGCTGCGACAGGACTGCTGGGGCGTATGACGTAGAGAAGGGTGCTTAGGCCTAGAGGCTTGGAGTGGGGAGGGTGCTTCGGTTAAATGTTGATGTCGCAAAACCGCTCTAAGAGCAGATGCCTGCATCGGCCCGTCTCAGTTCGCAGACGGGAACTGTTCATGATCTCGGAAGCCTCAATGTCGCCTGCGGTTTTCGATCCCTGGCTAGGCTTGGAATTTTTGGCGTTAAGGGTTTAGCAAGCCACATCTGAAGATGAAGAGGACATGGTTTCGACCCCTGGAGGATCAGAAGAGGATGTAACTAAAGTGTATGGAACCCAAGACTCTCACACCAGCTGGCTGCGAGTGGCAAAACAAACCATAGCTCCCAAGCCCCTGCCCCTGAACTGTCGCTCGGCCCGCTGCCGTTCCTGTAGCAGGCTTTCACCGTTGGGGCGGTTCCGGAAACACTGCCCGCCAGGTGGGGCTGGGAGAGGGTCGCAGGAGTTTTAGCGTTTCGGGTCCGAATGCTCTCAGATCAATGTCAATGGCCTTCGTCAGTAAATTAAGAAGTAGGGCACCCATCCTCGCAACTGCTTCCATCTCCACTTTCCGCATTAAACTGTTTAAACTAAGTCCCGAGAACGTCAAAAGAGAGGAGTGTATCTTTTGTCGGTCCGTGGTTCTTCGGCTGGCATCTAATCTGTCTCGTGTGTTGGCAAGATGTGAGTTTTGTGGTTCACTGGTTGCAAGCAGTCCTAACCTGAACCTTCCTAAATCGCATGTCGGATACAACAAAACCGTAAACCATGCGAAGCTCAAAGCGGTAAGCCTAAAGCTAGGTGCCTCATCCCAAGTCAGCATTACACCCAGACCCAAAACCTTAAGCTGACAACTAAAATCCGAAATTTTAGACTTAAACTGCAAAGATTCTAAGCCTTTTGCCCGAAACCCCACAACCCCCAAGCGCTAACACCCACCCACGATTTCTGCAGGCTGGCCACACAGTCTGGGCGGCGAGTGCATGAGGTGCCGGAAAGAGGCACAAAGAAGGGTTGAAAGGGGTTTCGGGCAAGGCTTGAGGGGTTTCGCGGCTGTCCACGGCAATCAAAGCAGGATCCTCGTCGTCACTGGCGGCTGTTGCCTCAGTTTTGGCTGCGGGTGCCGCTGTGAAAAGGCGCTGCGGTCAGTGTTGCGGCTGACGCTTTTGCGGGTTATAATGCATGGAGCTTCTTGGTTACCTTTGTTATAGCCTGGAAAGCATACCAACGCCTCGGCACAATCAGTACGTTCGTATGCATGCATAGATACATTTGCAGCTCATACGTGCATACATGCATGCATGCACACACACACATGCATTCAACTTTCACAGTGCACGTATACATGTACATGTGCATAACATGTACATATCCATAGCGCACACACACGCATATACATATATGTACGTATATCGTATATTCACATACACACAGGTACATAAGCATACATGTACTTACATATGCACATATATATATATACACATACACTTGCATGCGTAGATGCATAGATACAAGCATACATAGCATACATACACGCCCGTGACTGTATCCATACATATAAACAACATTCTACACGCAACCACACAACCACACAACCACGCAACCACACAACCGCACAACGACACAACCACACAACCACACAACCACACAACCACACAACCACACAAATACATATGCACGCATACACACAAACACACATATACTTGTTTATGTCAATCTCTATATCTACCTTTATCTCCATCTCTAGCTATATCTATACTTACCTATCTGCCTATCCACCTACCTACCTATCTACTTACTTACCTATCTACCTATCTACCTAGCTACCTATGGGCTTAATGCCGGGGTAAAGCCCCGTAGGCCTGGGAGAGGAAGAGTTGAGCAGGGGTGTTGCTTTCTTGTTTGTTCGCATTGTTTCTGGTTTAGTTAGTATGCAGATGAACGATGGCAGCTCCCTCTCTTTCTCTCTCCGTCTTTTCTCTTTCTCTCTGGACCTACACATGTCGGCACCAGCATGTGCACAAGTACACAGCCCTCAGGTGTGATCCCGAAACCCTGACTCCGACACCCTGACATCTGAAACCCCCTGCAAATCTCAAGCTGAAAGCCCTGAAGCATGGTTTTGGGTATAGTATACTTTATAAGGAACTCCCAAACTCGTATGGGTAGTTATTTAGGCCCCTTGTATTCCCATTTTTGCTGCGAGGCGTCCAGAGGCCCGGGCCGCCGCCGTGAGAATGAGGGCCGGCGCCTTACGATACTAACTAGAGTAGGGTTCCTTTAAAGGGTCTACAAGGGTTACGATTACCAGTACTATTTTGGGGGTTTCCTTGTTATAGTTTAAGTTTAGTGGGCCCCAAACCCTATTCCAATGACTAAGGCCCCTTTATTAGAAGCTGTTTTGGGTTTTGGGTTCTGACTTTGGCGAGTTTGGGCTTTCGGCGTTGAGGGTTTTGTACAAGGAGTTCCGCTTAGGACTTTTAATAGACCGGTTCAGGGCATTTGTCATGTTGAAAGGAATCGACCGACAAGAAGAGGTGTTTCTAAAGGGTTCTAATGGGTTCTAATGGGTTCTACAGGTCTTTCTGGGGTGTTAAGGGGAGGGGACCGCCAACAGCAGGATCCTCATCAAATCAACTCCGCAGTCACGTGCCAGTGTCCTCCACGACTCCTTATGAGGAGGAAGCTGCAGTTGGAGGGTTTCGGCTCGGTTAGCTTCAGGGTTTTGGGATCAGGATGCCTGGCTCATGGTCTTAAGGTGAAAGGTTCAGGTCTTTGTGTACTTTGGGCTGTCCAGGATTTCAGGAAATAGGTACCTCTCAAAGTACCCATGCTGTTCCTTGGGGTTCTTTTAGGTAAGTATACTGTAGTCTGAGCCAAAACCCTGTGAAGATTATTGAAAATTCTAGCCACAAAGCCCTCAACCCTAGCTTCCACGCCAACCTTCCACCGCTCAGAAAATGCAAAAACCGTCCCCCGCATCCATGAAACCTGCATGTATGCAGAATGGGTGCGAGGTGAGGATGATACGATGTGAGGTCATGCAGCTAGTTGGATTGCAATGCATGAGCCTGAACCTGAAGCGGGTTGCACCTTCAAGTCCCACCTCAAGATCTGAATCCTGCCCAAAACCCGGAAGTTGGAGTGTGATCACAGAAGGTGTGCTTGGTTGGTCGCATGTTTAGTTCCGTAACACTGTAGATGGGGCTGCAGCTGTATGTAATTCATGATCCGTGTGGTTCCAATTCGCCATTTTTGAAGTCATGCGTAGAACGGTCATGCTGAGGACTAGGGCACAGGGGCATGGGTTCAGGTTCCACAGTGTTGTAATGCTTCTAGGGCTTGCGGGCAGAGGGTAGGCGTCTGACGGCAACAGACAGACCCATTCTGAGGCGGAGACCGCGGTGGTGGAAAAGCCGAAGGAGGAGGTCAAGGGGGACATGGAGAAGGAAAACGCGTCTCGCCCAAAATTACGTCTGCCATTGAAGGGCATACAGGCTGGGGATTTAAGACTTTGGGTTTTAGCGTTGTTGGGCCTTCCAGGATCAAGTTCCCCAAATGTCCTTCATGAGAAGCTCCGATGTCTTGCATTGCAATCAGCCTGCGTTTCTCCGAGGAAGCGCTGATTGAGTCCTTGGCTGAACAGGCCACCTTTTGTCATTCCTGCTTCATTGCTCCACTCCCAGAAGATTTGTGTTTTTCTGCCGCAGGTAGAAGCAATTAACGAGCTGGAGGAAGAGTTCGAAAAGCTCCTTGACCTGCAAAATTAGCTCAAACACCTCCAGGATCTCTTGCCATGAATTGTTTCGTGCATGGCCATCGGGTAAATCACAAAAAACTCAGAAATACGCATCGTAAGCATTGAGGCTCCAGTAGCCCCTGGAAGAGCCAGGATGGACAACGACGGACTCCGCGCCAAGGTGGTGGAGCTGAAGCAGCGAATTCAGGCTTCCATGCTTGCCACACCGTTGTTCGTAACGTACATGAACTCACATATGCAAGCAGACAGACGGATGTATTGATGCGTAGACATGAATAGATAGCGACGCAGCAGTATGTGTCGATATTGGTGTGTAGGTGCACATGCGAGCATGCAAGCAAGAAGCAGAGTTTTGTGTGTGTCTTTGCGCGCGCGCGCGTGTGTGTGTGCGCGCACGCATGTTCCACTTCCAAGATTACTTACATGTGGTAGCAATTAGTAATGAGTGTATGATCACGTGTGCTGGGCAGTATGGCATGGCTCAGGGGGGGCTGTTAAACTTCAAGAACCGTGGGATCCGAGCGGC